ATCTCTCGGATGATTAGTGACCCTGAGCATGTTTTCATATGTCTCTTGGCTTTCTGAATGTCCTCTTTTGAAAGGTGTCTATTTAGGTCCTTTGCCCATTTTTTGATTGGATTGTTTATCTTCCTTTTGTTAAGTTGTATGAGTTCCCTATAAATTTTGGATATTAGGCCCTTATCAGATATGACATTGGCAAATATGTTTTCCCACACAGTGGGTTTTCTCGTTGTTTTGCTGATGGTTTCCTTTGCTGTGCAGAAGCCTTTTATCCTGATGTAGTCCCATTTGTTCACTTTCTCTTTCGTTTCAAGTGCCCTAGGAGCTGTATCAGTGAAGAAATTGCTTCGGCATATGTCTGAGATTTTGTTGCCTTTGGATTCTTCTAGAATTTTTATGGTTTCCTATCGTACATTTAAGTCCTTTATCCATTTTGAGTTTATTTTTGTGTATGGTGTAAGTTGGTGGTCTAGTTTCATTTTATTGCATATATCTGTCCAATTTTCCCAACACCATTTATTGAAGAGACTATCTTGGCTCCATTGTATGTTCTTGCCTCCTTTGTCAAATATTAATTGAGCATATTGGTTCGGGCCGATTTCTGGGCTCTCTATTCTATTCCATTGATCTATATGCCTATTCTTGTGCCAGTACCAGGCAGTTTTGAGAACAGTGGCTTTGTAATACAACTTGATATCTGGTATTGAGATCCCACCTACTTTGGTCTTTTTCAGGATTGCTGCAGCTATTCGGGGTCTTTTTTTATTCCAGATGAATTTTTGGAGAGTTCGTTCTAGATCTCTGAAGTATGCCGTTGGTATTTTAATGGGAAGTGCGTTGAATTTATAGATTGCTTTGGGTAGTATGGACATTTTAATGATGTTGATTCTACCAATCCATGAACACGGTATGTTCTTCCATCTGTTTATGTCTTCCTCTATATCTTTTTTCAACGTCCTGTAGTTTTCTGAGTAGAGGTCTTTTACCTCTTTAGTTAAGTTTATTCCTAGGTAGCTTAATTTTTTTGGTGCGATGGTAAACGGGATTGTTTTTATAATCTCTCTTTCTGAAAGTTCACTATTGGTGTATAGAAATGCCTCGGATTTCTTGGGGTTAATTTTGTATCCTGCTACATTGCCAAATTCATGTATTAAGTCCAGTAGCTTTTTGATGGAGTCTCTAGGGTTTTGTATGTATAATATCATGTCGTCTGCAAATAAGGACAGTTTTACTTCCTCTTTTCCAATTTGGATGCCTTTTATTTCTTCTTCTTGCCGAATTGCAATGGCTAACACTTCCAGTACTATGTTGAACAGGAGTGGTGAGAGGGGGCATCCCTGTCTTGGGAACTCATACATCTTAACAAAAGGAAAATAATCAATTCAATCAAAAAATGGACCTAAATAGACACTTCTCCAAAGTGGACATACAAAGGGCAAGAGGCATATGAAAAAATGATCAAAGTCACTAATCATCCGAGAGATGCAAATCAAAATGACAATAAGATACCACCTCATACCTGTCAGAATGGTTATCATCAACACAAGTGCTGGTGAGGATGTGGAGAAAAGGGAAGCCTCATACACTGCTGGTGGGAATGCAGACTGGTGCAGCCTCTGTGGAAAACAGTATAGAGTTTCCTCAAAAAGTTAAAAATGGAACTCCCATTTGACCCAATGATCCCACTTCTAGGAATATACCCCAAGAAATCAGAAACACCAATCAGAAAGAATATATGTACCCCTATGTTCATAGTAGCACAATTTACAATAGCTAAGATTTGGAAACAGCCTTAGTGCCCATCAGTGGATTAGTGAATTAAAAAATTGTGGTACATTTATACAATGGAATACTATGCAGGTGTAAAAGAGAAGGAGCTCTTACCATTTGCAACAGCATGGATAGATCTGGAGAACATTATGCTAAGCGAAATAAACCAGTTGGAGAAAGATAAGTATCACATGATCTCACTCATTTGTGAAATATAATGAATAACATAAACTGATGAACAAAAATAGACCCAGAAACAGAAACATTGAACAGACCTCAGAGGGAAGGTACGGGAGTGTGTGTGTGTAGCGGGGAGTACAGATCAACCAAAGAACTTGTATGCATATAAGCATAACCAATGGACACAGACAATAGGGTGGCAAAGACCTGGTTGGGGTGCAGGGGCAGGCTGGGAGAGGTCAATGGGGGAAAAAGATGACTTAAGTAATACTTTCAACAATAAATAATTAAAATAAAATATAATGATTTACTATTTTAAAAAAAGGAAGAATGACAGAAAACTTCCTCTACTTAGTGAAAGAAACAGACTTACAAGTCCCAGAAACACACAGAGTCCCAAACAAGAGGAACCCAAAGAGGCCCACACCAAGACACATCATAATTAAAATGCTAAGTGCCAAAGACAAAGAGAATCTTAAAAGCAGCAAGAGAAAAGCAGTTAGTTACCTACAAGGGAGCACCCATATGACTGTCAGCTGATTTCTTCACAGAAACTAGTCAGGACAGAAGGGAGTGGCAAGAAATATTCAAAGTGATGAATTTTTTCTATCATTTCAAATTGAAGGTCAGATAAAGAACTTCATAGACAAGAAAAAGCTAAAGGAGGTCATCACCACCAAACCAGTATTACATGAAATGTTGAAGGGTATTCTTTTCTTTTCTTTTCCTTTTTATTGTTTAAAGGATTACATGTCTCTTTTTCCCCCAGAAGGGTATTCTTTAAGAAGAGGAATAAGAATAAGAAAAAGAAAAAGATAAAAAAAATATGAACAATAAAAAGGCAATAAATACATGTCTATTAACAATTGAATCTAAAAATCAAAATAACTGAATAAGAAACCTAATAAACAGAACTGGTGAATAAAATAGAATCAGATGCATAGAAATGGAACAGATTGACGATTCTCGGAGGGAAGGAGGATGGGGGAGATGGGGAGAGATTAAACAAAGATCTTATATGCATATATGCATTACCTATGGACACAGACAATGGAGTGGTGAAAGCCTGGGGTGGGGCAGGAACCGGGTGGAGGGGGGCAAAGAGGGGAAAAAGAGGAACATCTGTAATACTCTCAACAATAAAGATTTTTTAAAAATTTAGTAAGTTGTATTTTCATTTTTATGCAGTTCAAAATATTTCAAAATTTCTTGTGAGATTTCTTTTTTGACCTATGTGTTACTTAGGAGTGTGTTCCTTAATCTCCAAGTATTTTTGCATTTTCCAGCTATCTTTCTGTTATCTGTTCCTACTTTAATTCCATTGTGGTCTAAGAGTTATGATTTCTATTATTTTTTATTGTGCTTTTATAGATTTTAGAGAGAGAGGAAGGGAGAGGGAGCGAGAGATTGATGAGAGAAAAACATTTATAGGCTACCTCCCGCATTCCCTGCACTGGGGGTCATGTGCCCTGACCAGGAATCGAACTGGCAACCTCTTGGTGCATGGGATGACACTTAAGCAACTGAGCCACACTGGTCAGGGCATTTGGCCTGTAGTTCTCTTTCTTTGTAGTGTCTATGTGGTTTTGGGATTAGGGTAATACTGGCTTCATAGAAAGAGTTTGGCAGTGTCCCTTCCTCTTGAATTTTTTGGAATAGTCTGAGGAGTATAGGTGTCAGTTCTTCTGTGAATGTTTGGTAAAACTCCCTGTGAAGCCATCCAGACCAGGCCTTTGTTTGCTGGAAGTTTTTATTATTATTTTTTTTTTATTTATTTTTTATTACTGCTTCAATTTCATCTCTAGTTATCAGCCTATTGAGGATTTCTGATTCTTCTTGATTGAGTTCTACTAGTAGAAGATGGTATTTTTCTAGGAATATGTCCATTTCATCTGGATGTGATTTGCTCATTTTTGTTGAGAATTTGTCCAGTTTGTTGGAATAGAGGTGTCATAGTATTTTTTTATGATCCTTTGTATTTCTGTGGGGTCGGTTGTTACTTCACCTCTTTTGTTTCTAAAAGTTTTTTGGCTTAAACTTTTATAGATCTCGTATTCATGTCAAAGTATTTTTTCCCCAAAGTATTATTTTGATTTTAGAGAGAGAGAGAGGAAGGGAGAGGGATAGAACCATCATTGATCAGCTGCCTCTGGCATGCTCCCTACTGGGGATTGAGCCCGCAACCCGGGCATGTGCATTGAACCAATGACCTTTTGGTTCATGGGTCTACACTCAACCACTGAGCCACACTAGCAGGACTGTCAAAGTATTTTTATGTTAGTGATTTTTGTTAAAGGGGTCCACTCCCCCATTGATTTACATAGCACACAACAGGCATTCACATTATTTGTTAAATTCACATATTCATCTATAACCTCCTTCTGAGCAGGGCATGTGTGTGACAGTCATTTGTTTTCTCCATGACTATCTCCTTTAATCAGTGACCAATACAATGTTATACATAATAATACCCTGTAATAAATAAGTGTCCAAAGAAGACAAGAGCAAAAGCCACAGCAGTTTCTTCTTGTGCCTGTGAAGCCTGGGCTGGGTCTGGTGGTGTGTTCCCACAAAAGAAAAGAGACTGGTCCTGAGTTTGTATGCAGCACACAGCGAGGGAGCCATGGAACATAGGGGAGGGATGGCCCTATACCAGTAGTCAGCCTTCTGATCCTATCTTCCTGGGATTTCACATTCTGCCCAGAAACTTATTTCTGGCCTTGGTTTGCAGGCTCTGAATTTTAAAGACAGCTGAGGCCATTTCTCTTCTCCTTGCAAACCCTTTAACCTTAAACTTTATCTCATAGTAGCATGGAGTCCCTTTTCAAAATAAACACCACCTGCTTTGGGAGTACACAAAATCAATATTAGTAGATTGCCAGTGTTTAGACACAAACATTTTTACTTTTATCTACCCAAATACAAAAAAATCAACTATAGTCATGCGACACAGCCAGTCACTTTTGCTGAGAAAAACCTAGTCTCCATGGGTATAGACATAGTTGAGCAAGGAGGGATGCTGGAGGACAGCAAGAAGACACGGTTGGACCACAAACTGATCTCCTGCAACAGTCACAGCCTTGCATTCAGGCAAGACTTCCAAACCATTATGTGTTCTTTTTAGCTCATCTTTTTTTTTTTCTTTTTCTTTTTCTTTTTCCTGCAAGAAGGAATAACACGAGAAACCTAAGAAATGGCAGCTGTGGGAGACTGTCATGCCTAAGCGTGAGCCTTAGTGTTGCTGGCTCTCTGTGCCCACATCCCACCTCCTTTCCCCAGCCTCCTGGATATGCCCCATCTAGGAATGAAGGGCCTAGACCAGGTCCATCAGAAAGAGTTGAGCCATGCAGATCATGCTGTTCAATGAGGTCAAAGCCTTTGGTTTGAAAAAGGAACAGCCTGTATGACTGAAGTATTTTCAAAGTGGTAAAAGGGTTCAAATGAGTCATGTGACTTATAGCAACTCCTTTTCAAATAGAGTTTGTCTCTAGTCTGTTGAAACACTGTGCAGGTTCTGCTGGAGCACTGCTGGTGCGGTTGCAGAAATTTTGCCTTAGGCCAGAACAGCAGCTGTCAATGTGTGTTCTGCAGCCCTAGTCATTTGCTCAATGGTTAGAACATTGTCCCACAGACGAAGGGTCCAGGTTTGATTCCCAGCCAAGGGCATGTACCTGGGTTGCAAGCTCAATCTCGGCTTGGATTAGGGCTTGTGCAGGAGGCAATCAATTGATCTGTCTCTCTCACATTGATGTTTCTCTCTCCCCCCTCCTTCCTTTCCACTCTCTCTAAAAAATCAATGGGGGAAAAAATATCCTCAGGTGAGGATTAACAACAACAAAAAAAGTGTGTTCTGCAGACTTCCAGGGCCACGAGTTCCCATTTTCCAACTGCATACCTGGGGGAGGCTGAACTCTCTCCATTTGCTTCAACCAAGACAACATGTCACAAAAGATCGAAAATGGAGGCATAATTAAGAAAGCAGACATTCTAGAGATTTGCCAAATATAGAACAATGCCACTCATCTCACCATTATAACTTTTGTTTTGTTCTGGAAAATATTATTTTGCATAATACATGTTATTTATGTGACCATGCAATGGTTTTATTATTTTTTCAATTAATAAACATTTAAAACATCCTAGTTTTAATTTCTTTTTAAAAAAATATAAATCTTTATTGTTGAAAATATTATATATTTCCTCTTTTAAATCCCATTGACCCCTTCTAGCCCACCTCTACACTCCACCCTGGGCCTTCACCACCCTATTGTCTGTGTCCATGGGTTATGCATATATATATATATATATATATATATATATATATATATACACACACACACACACACACACACATATATACATACACAAGTTTTTTGGTTGACCACTTCCCACTGACTCACCCTCCCCAGCCTTCCCTCTGAGGTTCTGCAGTTTGTTCTATGCTTTGATGTCTCTGGATCTATTTTGTTCACCAGTTTGTTTTGTTCATTAGATTGCACATATCAGTGAGGTCATGTGATACATGTCTTTCTCTGACTGATTTATTTCACTTAGCATGATACTCTCCAGTCCCTCCGTGCTGTCTCAAAGGGTAAGAGATTCTTCTTTTTTACTGTTACAGAGTATTCCATGGTATAAATGTACCACAGCTTTTTTATCCACTCATCTACTGATGGGCAAATGGGCTATTTCCAGATCTTAGCTATTGTAAATTGTGCTGCTATGGACAGAGGAGTGCATACAGTCTTCCTGATTGGTATTTTGGGCCTTAGGATATATTCCTAGAAGTGGGATCACTGGGTCAAATGGCAATTCCATATTTAATATTTTGAGGAAACTCCATACTGTTTTCCATAATGGCTGCACCAGTCTGCATTCCCACCAACAGTGTACTAGGGTTCCCTTTTCTCCACAATCCTTGCCAGCACTTGTCATTTGTTGATTTGTTGATAGTAGCCATTCTGACTGGTGTGAAGTGCTACCTCATTGTTGTCTTAATTTGCATCTCTCCGAAGAACAGTCACTTTGAGCATTTTTTTCATGTCTCTTGCCCATCTATATGTTCACTTTGGAGAAGTGTCTATTTATGTCCTTTAATCGTTTTTTAATTGGATTGTTTGTCTTCCTTTTGTTAAGTTGTATGAGTTCCTTATATATTTTGGCTATTAACCCTTTTTTTAAAAAAAATATATTTTATTGATTTTTTACAGAGAGGAAGGGAGAGAGATAGAGAGTTAGAAACATCGATGAGAGAGAAACATCGATCAGCTGCCTCCTGCACACCTCCTACTGGGGATGTGCCCGCAACCCAGGTACATGCCCTTGACCGGAATCGAACCTGGGACCTTTCAGTCCGCAGGCCGATGCTCTATCCACTGAGCCAAACCGGTTTCGGCGGCTATTAACCCTTTATCAGATGTATCATTGCCAAATACGTTCTCCCATACAGTGGGCTCCCTTTTTGTTTTGTTGATGGTATTTTTGCTGTGCAGACGCTTTTTGTTTTGATGTTCTTCCACTTGTTTATTTTTCTCCTTAGTTTCCTTTGCCCTAGAAGATGTATCCATAAACATATTGCTGTGAGAGATGTCTGAGATTTTGCTGCCTATGGTTTCTTCTAGGATCTTTATTGTTTCCTGACTTACATTTAAGTCTTTTGTACATTTTGAGTTTATTCGTGTATGGTGTAAGTTGGTGGTCTAGTTTCATTTTTTTTTACATGTATCTGTCCAATTTTCCCAACACTATTTATTAAAAAGGCTATCTTGACTCCATTGTATGTTCTTGCCTCCTTTGTCAAATATTAATTGAGTGTAATGGCTTGGGTTCATTTATTAAATCTAGTTGTTTTTTGATGGAGTCTTTACGGTTTTCTATGTACAATATCATAGCATCTGCGAATAATGACAGTTTTACTTCTTCTTTTCCAGTTGGATACCTTTTACTTCTGCTTGTCTGATCGCTATGGCTAGCACTTCCACTATTATGTTGAACAGGAGTGGTGAAAGTGGGCATTCTGTCTTGTTCCTGTTTTTAGGGAAAATGGTTGTGGTTTTTGCTCATTGAGTGTGATGTTGGCTATAGGTTTGTCATATATGGTCTTTATTATGTTGAGCTCCCTCTATTCCACTTTACTGAGAATTTTTATCATAACTGGGTGTTGTATTTTGTTGAATGTTGTTTTTGCATCTATGGATACGATCATGTGATCTTTATCTTTCAATTTATTATATGATGTATCATATTTATTAATTTGCTAATATTGTACCAGCCTGCATCCCTGGAATGAATCCCACTTGGTCATGGTGTATGATCTTTTTAATATATTGCTGGATCCAATTTGCTAATATTTTGTTGAGGATTTTAGCATCTATGTTTATTAGGGATATTGGCCTGTAATTCACTTTCTTTGTAGTGTCTTTATCTGGTTTTGGAATTAGGATAATGCAGGCCTCATAAAAAGAGCTTGGAAGTGCTCCTTCCTCTTGGATTTTTTGGAATAGAGGAGTATAGGTGTTTAGTTCTTCTTTTAATGTTTGGAAACATTCCCCTGTGAAGCCATCCGGACCTGGGCTTTTGTTTGCTGTTTTTTTAATTACTGCTTCTATTTCCTCAATTGTTATTGGCCTATTCAGGTTTTCTGATTCTTCCTGATTCAGTTTTGGGAGATTGTATTTTTCTAGGAATTTGTCCATTTCATTCACATTGTCCAGCCTGTTGGCATATAGTTGTTCATAGTATTTTTTTTATAATCCTTTGTATTTCTGTGGTGTCAATTGTTACTTCACTCTTTTGTTTCTGATTTTATTTGTGTCCTCTCTCTTTGTTTCTTGATGAGTCTGGGTAACAGTTCATCAAACTTCTTTTAAAAATATATTTTATTGATTTTTTTTTTACAGAGAGGAAGGGAGATAGAGAGCTAGAAATATCAATGAGAGAATTATCAATCAGCTGCCTCTTGTACACCCCCAACTGGGGATGTACAAGGGCATATATGCCCTTGACCAGAACCGAACCTGGAACCCTTCAGTCTGCAGGCCAACGCTCTATCCACTGAGCCAAACCGGTTAGGGCTCATCAATCTTTTTTATCTTTTCAAAGAACCAGCTCTTGGTTTCACTGATTTTTTTTTTTGATTTTTATTTATTTATTTATTTTTTTTAGGAAGGCAGGGCATTTATTTCTTCCTCCTCCCCCACGGGAAGCCTGACCCCAGGGACCTCCTGTCCAGCACCATTGGACGGCCAGTTTCTGCCAACATCTGCCAGCAGGTCTTCCCGATAACTCTTGGGCAGCATGTAGTAGACACGGGTCTTGTCCACGGTCCTGGCCGCCAGCAGCCCTTTCCGCACAGATGTATAGGTGCCCGCCCAAGGGCTGTGCTGCACTGTGATGGTGGCCCTGGGGGAAGCTGCCAATAACCTGGCCACCACCCCGGCTGTGCTCTGGCCCAGCGGCCCAGACTGGAGCTGGAAGGACACACGCTGCCAGAGGCCCTTGCTCAGCTCCAGCATATCCGTAAGCAGCTGCTCCTTGTAGCCATTGCCCAGTACCTCCTCAGGCCAGCCCAGGGCCACTGTCACGTGGGGGAAAACCTCAGCCACAGCGGTGAGCAGCTCCTTGCTGAGCACGTAGCCAGGCACAGCAAAGCTCCCATGGGAGACTGTGCCCCACCCACACAGGCAGAGAGGGGCAACTGAGGTTGGAGAGGTGGACCAGCACGGCCAGGGCTGGCCGAAGGGCCATGGGCTCTGCTATGAGCAAATGGACTCCCCAGCGTCCAGGGTGTGTGGTGAGCTGCAGCAGGCACAACTCCAGCGCCAGGGCAGAGTCACCCGAGGCGTACACGATGGGCACGGCAACTCCAGCGCCAGGCTCCTGGAGGCGACGTTCAGCAGGATCATGCCTTCTTTTCCTGAGAGTTGAACTGTTGCTGCTGTTGCATTGCCCTGGATGCCAGGAAGCTGCCACTCCACGCTCAGAGCGTCGCACCCGGGGAGCTGGAGAAGGGGGATCAGGCTGTCTCCTGTATAGTAACTTTGCTTCCGTGTGGCGTTCATTGCAAGCTGCTTGAACTGCGACAGGACAGGCTCGAAGAGGTCATAGTAGATTTGGTGGTTGGCAGAGTTGTCCTGGATGTAGAGGAGATCATCCACCGACACGGGTTCCGAGACACCCTGCCACAGTGTCAGGCTGTATCTGTCCGACTGGCCCAGCAGCCAGCTGAAATGGGGCCAGGCAGCCCGCACCATGACAGCCTGCACGGGGAAGGTGACCCTCTGCGGCAGCGCTCCCACCAGCTCCTGCATCTTCTCTATCATGGCTCGGGTGTATGTGCTGTTCGGCAACAGGGGCACGTAGAGGGTGGTCCAGCCTGGAGGCAGGGTGGCCTCAGGATACTTCTCCTGAACCAAGGCCAGGAACTGTGTGGCATTGACTTCGATGGAGATGGGCACGTTGGGGCCCTTCAGAATGTCGGCATTGATCCATACAGGCCTCCGGACTTTCCCAGCATCTGTCAGTCTCCGCAGGAGGTCCAGGGAGGGGCCCACAGCCTTGACACTCTTAAAGTCTAGCTTGATACCCTTCTGGGAAGAGGCCAGCACAGTATCCAGCCACTGCTCCAGGGTGTTGTCACTATAGATGAGTGGGGGGTGCACCATGATGGGGACCCCTGTCTCGTTGGCTGTGTTGGGCCCTTCTAGGTTGATATCCGCCTCCAGGACCATGATGTCACTTTCCAGGGCAGTCCTCATGTCCTTCTGGCTGTTGGCAGCATGGTGCCAGGTGACCAACAGGCTATCCCGCTGGCTGATCTGGCCCAGGCTCAGCAAGTAGTCCAGCACGTCTGCATCTGGGCGACAAACTACATCCTGCTTACAGCTGTGTGGGAGGGAGCAGGCCACTTCGGGGGCCTGGGAGGAGCCGGGAGCCTGGGAAGGCAGGAGGAGCCTGGGAAGGCAAGGTGGTAGGCAGTCCATGGAGGGAGAGGACAGATGCCTCAAGGTGAAGGGCCTGAGAAGAAAGGCCTGAGGCAGAAGGATGAGGGAGGCTGCTCCCAGGGGGAAAGGGTGAATTTGGCTCAATGCACCGTTTGAGATGCCCACATCACTGCTAGGAAGGAATGCCTATTGGGGGCACGGGGGGGGGGGGGGGGGGGAGGGGGGGGGCGGGCGCGGGGACGTGGTCCGGGCTGAAGACCAAGGTTTGGTGTGGTTTTCAGGCAACGGAAGCCTGGTGAAGGAGGGAGGGAAAGAAGGCCAAAGGGACGTTCTTCAGGGGAGCGGCCTTGGGTGGTTGGGAATGGGAGAGGCAAATAGAGCTGAATCTCGGTGGGGATGTGGGATGGAAGAGAAGGCCATCACAGCTGTGGCTGAGGACCAGGAGGGTGGGTGACGAGGACAGATTAGATCTGCCTTGGTGGGGACAAGGGCTTCATTGAAGAAACTCCACAGGGTGGGGCAAGAGTTTTCCAATTGGTGGGTCAACTGCCTACCCACCAGGCAAACTGTGCCTGGGTAGCAAAGGTCTGCCTGAGTAAGATGACCTCTGCAGCGTGAGGGAATGACTCAGCACAGGAAACCAGGGTGTCTGCCTTCTGAGCTCTAACCCAGCGCCCCCAACCCTAGCTTCTACTCATACAGCTTCAATCCACTCTGCCCTCCCTCTGCAGGAGCCCAAGTGACTGCACATGAAAATTTGTTTGTTGACCCTTTAAGAGGGTGCCTGCATTTCCAGCCATCTCTCTCTGGCATACAGAAACCTTATTGTTTTTTTATAGCCAGATGTTATGTAGCCACCTTTATCAGTCTGGTGCTCTCTGCTAGGGGGCCAAGCATGGGGTTTAGACCCCAGAGTCCTCAGTGGCAACCCCCCACAACAGAGATATCTCTCTAGAACTTCAGCTGCTGTCTGTGGGACTCCAGAAAAATTTCAGTAATGACTTTATTTTTTCAGTTAACATAACCAGCCCATGATACAGCATATTGTCATAAAGTACAAACCCACAGAAGATAATACCTTCACTAAGTTACAAAACTTTTCCAAATCAATACAGTACTAAAGATGTACTAAAGATGCAGTTATATATTACTTGAGTGATCATTTTAACTCCAAAAATGTACAAAATTAAAACACTTTGGTTTTTAATGGTGATTTGTAACAGAGCAAGTTATTTTATACAAATTTATATCTTTTAAAACTATACAAGTTCTCCTTTGAAAGTGACTTCCCTCTTGAAGTTTCCCACAGCAGAGCAATTGTGTCTATTTGGAGGTGGCTCTGCTTTGTCCTACGGTTGGTCCAATAGAGTTCCAATGCATGAAAAGCTTTAAAAGTCAACCTGAAGGAGACCTAATATGCTAACACCAATTTCCATGTACTTTTCAAAAATTGTTAAATTCTCACATAACTATGGAATCTTCAAAACCAGAATCATTTCAAACAATACTAATAATTTCAGATGCTCCCATTTATTTAGAAACACTGTACCCCTTTGTTTTGATCAAGTCACATATCCTTTTTTCATCCTATTAAAAAACATTCTACCTAAAATATAGTTGTATTTTTTAAATAACAATAAATATAATGTTAGCTAGTAGAGATCTGGGGGCTGAGTGTTGTATACCAACTTTCATCATTTCTGTACAAATGCTGCTGCTGCTATTGGCATCTTCATGCTTCCTCTTGCTGAAGCCATCAATTCTTCAACCTCAGCATTTAATTTACTAAGTATGTATTACCCATTCCATTGCTTCTCAGCCTTCACTAACATTTGAAGATATTGTGCTCATCATCAGCCCTTCCAGGTAATTACTGAGGCTGACTCCTTTCACAGTGATGATGGCCTCTTGAGTCAAAACAGTTCTTTCTAGGTCCTGAGGATGTGGTTTATATATAAGTCTCTCACCTACTGAAACCGTATTTGTAAATGAAATACTAGTGGATTTAAGTTCCATTGTTTTCTCTACAGGATCAACTACAGAATGTTCTTGCACATATGTTTTGCTTCTTGCCCCACCAATCAGAGATTTCACAATGGAAGGCAGTCCCCACTCTGTGCTGAGCAGTCTATGGCTGTGCAACTTTCCAGAAGGCTCTACATGTTTATCCAATACATCAACTCCAAACACACTTGGGTTCATAGGGTTTGGATATTTCTGCATTGCAGCTGTTGTAACAGTTTCCCATGGGTGGTCAAGGACGTGCTCTGAAGTCCAAATCTTCATGGTGCCAGTGGCCTGTGTGTGTCCTGGCAATGCAAAGAGGCAAAGAGCCCTCAATTATTTTTAAGAGTGTAAAGGGCTCTTGAATTCAAAAACTGTGAGACCCACTGGACTAGAGCAAGTTGTTATCCCAAGAGTTCAAAACCCCACAGGTCAGGGACCCACTCCATGCAAGTGGCTCTGCACCTTTGATGCCCTGGAATGTGCCATGTGACCATGTAGTGTTAGTCACTCCATCAGTTTCTATTTCAAAGGCCCAACATCTGCAGCTTTGCTCATGTTGTTGCCCATGTGAAACATATTATGCGCCCCTCCAGGTCTTTCCTCAAACTGTCTCTCATGCCCTTGTAGACCAAAATTAATTCTAGACTGTAATAAAGAATAAAAAACATTTATTTGAGCAAAAAGAGTTACGACAGTGCTGCAACCCAGGAAACCCAGATTCAGGTAGCAACTCATCTGCTCCAGAAAGAACAAAGAAAGTGGAGCTTATACAGACAAAAGCTAGCACAGAACTATTTATTCCAACACATTTATAGCAATATATACATATTTTAAAAATGACCTGTCCAATGACATGAGATAATTAAAAACATTATGGTCTAACTATGCCATATTGACTTTTCATGAATCTTTAGAAATCCAATTTTCCAAGAGTCTTTTTCCATTTTTAAATTTTTTTTCTTTATTGATTAAAGTATTACATATGTGTCCTTATCCCCCCATTGCCCCCCCCCCCCAACAACCCCCCACTCATGCCCTCACCCCCCTGGTGTCTGTGCCCATTGGTTAGGCTTATATGCATGCATACAAGCCCTTTGGTTGATCTCTCCCCCTCCCACCCACCCTCCCCTACCTTCCCTCTGAGGTTTGACTCTCTGATCAATGCTTCTCTGTCTCTGGATCTGTTCTTGTTCATCAGTTTATGTTGTTCATTACATTACACAAATGAGTGATTTCATGTGATATTTATCTTTCTCTGACTGGCTTATTTCACTTACCATAATGCTCTCCAGTTCCATCCATGCTGTTGCAAATGGTAAGAATTCCTTCTTTTTTACCACAGCATAGCATTCCATTGTGTAGATGTACCACAGTTTGTTTATTTATTTATTTATTTGTTTGTTTGTTTATTTATTTATTTTTATCTTTAAATTTTTTATTAGTTAAGGAATTACAAATGTGTCCTCATCCCCCCCATCAACCCCCATCCTCCCCCCCCCCCACACTCATTTTCTCATCCCCCTGTTGCCCATGTCCAATGGTTTGGCTTATATGCATGCATACAAGTCCTTTGGTTGATCTCTTCCCCTTACCCCCACCCTCCCCTACTTTCTCTCTGGGGATTAATAGTCTGTTTGCTGTTTTTCTGTCTTTGGATCTGTCCCTGTTCATCAGTCTATGTTGTTCTCTATATTCCACAAATAAGTGAGATCATGTGGTATTTATCTTTCTATGACTGGCTTATTTCACTTAGCATAATGCTCTCCAGTTCAATCCATGCCGATTCTAAAGGCAAGAGTTCCTTCTTTTTTACCGCAGCATAGTATTCCATTGTGTAGATGTACCACAGTTTTTTAATCCACTCATCTGCTGATGGACAATTAGGCTGTTTCCAGATCTTAGCTATGGTGAATTGTGCTGCTATGAACATAGGGGTGCATATGTCCTTTCTGATTGGTGTTTCTGGCTTCTTGGGATACATTCCTAGAAGTGGGATCATTGGGTCAAATGGGAGTTCCATTTTTAGTTTTCTGAGGATGCTCCATACTGTTCTTCACAGTGGCTGCACCAGTCTGCATTCCCACCAGCAGTGCACGAGAGTTCCTTTTTCTCCACATCCTCTCCAACACTTGTTGTTTATTGATTTGTTGATGATAGCCATTCTGACAGGTGTGAGATGATACCACATTGTCGTTTTGATTTGCATCTCTTGTATAATTAGTGACTTTGAGCATGTTTTCATATGTCTTTCGGCCTTCTGTATGTTCTCTTTTGAAAAGTGTCTATCTAGGTCCGTTGCCCATTTTTTGATTGGATTGTTTATCTTCCTATTGTTAAGTTGTATGAGTTCCCTGTAAGTGTTGGAGATTAAACCCTTATCGGTGCTAACATTGGCAAATATGTTCCCCCATGCAGTGGGTCTTCTTGTTGTTTTGTTGATGGTTTCCTTTGCTGTGCAAAAGCTTTTTATTTTGATGTAGTCCCATTTGTTTATTTTCTCTTTAGTTTCCATTGCCCTAGGATCATTTTCAGAGAAGATATTCCTTTGGCATATGTTTGCGATTTCGCTGCCTGTGGATTCCTCTAGTATTTTTATGGTTTCCCATCTTATGTTTTAGTCTTTTATCCATTTTGAGTTTATTTTTGTGAATGGTGTGAGTTGGCAGTCTAGTTTCATCGTTTTGCATGTATCTTGTACCACAGTTTTTTAATCCACTCATCTGCTGATGGGCACTTAGGCTGTTTCCAAATCTTAGCTATGGTGAATTGTGCTGCTATGAACATAGGGGTGCATATATCCTTTCTGATTGGTGTTTCTGGTTTCTTGGAATGTAGTCCTAGACGTGGGATCACTGGTCAAATGGGAGTTCCATTTTTAGTTTTCTGAGGATGCGCCATACTGTTCTCCACAGTGGCTGTACCAGTCTGCATTCCCACCAGCAGTGCAAGAGGATTCCTTTTTCTCCGCATCCTTGCCAGCACTTGCCATTTGTTGATTTGTTGATGATTGCCATTCTGACAGGTGTGAGATAGTACCGCATTCTCATTTTGATTTGCATCTCTTGGATGAGTAGTGACTTTGAGCATATTTTCATATGTCTCTTGGCCTTCCTTATATCCTCTTTTGAAAAGCATCTATTTAGGTCCGTTGCCCATTTTTTGATTGGATTGTTTATCTTCCTTTTGTTAAGTTGTATGAGTTCCCTGTAAGTGTTGGAGATTAAACCCTTATCGGTGCTAACATTGGCAAATATGTTCTCCCATGCAGTGGGCTTTCTTCTTGTTTTGTTGATGGTTTCTTTGGCTGTACAGAAGCCTTTTATTTTGATGTAGTCCCATTTGTTTATTTTTTCTTTAGTTTCCATTGCCCTAGGAGCTGTATCGGTGAAGATATTGCTTTGGCATATGTCTGAGATTTTGCTGCCTGTGGATTCCTCTAATATTTTTATGGTTTACCATCTTATGTTTAAGTCCTTTATCCATTTTGAGTTTTTTTCTCTTTTTTACTGTTCATCAGATTATTTATTCACTTAATTCTTAGATTCACGTGTTGATAGATGCATATTTGTTGTTCATAATTTGTATCTTTACCTTCTTCTTCCTCTTCTTAAAAGATACCTTTCAGCATTTCGTATAATACTGGTTTGGTGGTGATGAACTCCTTTAGCTTTTCCTTATCTGTGAAGCTCTTTATCTGACCTTCAATTCTGAATGATAGCTTTGCTGGATAAAGTAATCTTGGTTGTAGGTTCTTGGCATTCATCACTTTGAATATTTCTTGCCACTCCCTTCTGGCCTGCAAAGTTTCTGTTGAGAAATCAGCTGACAGTCGTATGGGTATTCCCTTGTAGGTCACTGAGTTTCTTTCTTCTTGCTGCTTTTAAGATTCTCTCTTTGTCTTTTGCTCTTGGCATTTTAATTATGATGTGTCTTGGTGTGGTCCTCTTTGGATTCCTTTTGTTTGGGGTTCTCTGCGCTTCCTGGACCTGTAAGTCTATTTCTTTCACCAGGTAGGGGAAGTTTTCTGTCATTATTTCTTCAAATAGGTTTTCAATATCTTGCTCTCTCTCCTCTTCTGGCACCCCTATAATTCTGATGTTGGTACGCTTGAAGCTGTCCCAGAGGCTCCTTACACTATCTTCATATTTTCGGATTGTTTTCTCATTTTGCTTTTCTGGTTGGGTGTTTTTAGCTTCTTCGCATTTCAAATCTTTAACTTGATTCTTGCGCTCCTCTGGTCTGCTGTTGGGAGTTTGTATAATATTCTTTATTTCAGTCAGTGTATGCTTAATTTGTAGTTGGTCCTTTATCACAACATCGAGGGTCTGATTAGATTTCTTGAGGATCTCACTATATTTATTGGCGGTCTCACCAGTCTTTTCGAGGGCCTTACTAAATTTATCGGCAGCTTCTAGACAGTTCTTGAGAGACCTTAAAAGTGTTGTTTTGAGCTCTATATCCAGCATTTTGCCTTCCTCCATTTCTGTCCTGTTTCTTTGTCTCCGCATTTTTAAAAAAATATATTTTATTGATTTTTTACAGAGAGGAAGGGAGAGACATAGAGAGTTAGAAACATCGATGAGAGAGAAACATCGATCAGCTGCCTCCTGCACATCTCCTACTGGGGATGTGCCCGCAACCAAGGTACATGCCCTTGACCGGAATCGAACCTGGGACCTTTCAGTCCGCAGGCCAACGCTCTATCCACTGAGCCAAACCGGTTTCGGCT